CGACAAAATAAGGAGTTGAAGGGCGCGTGGCAAATGTCCTTGGTGTGACCTATACAGGTGATGAAACTAAAGGTGTAAATCCCGATCCCCAATTCCAGGCTCTGGAAGCCGTTTGGCAGATGGCTATCTTCTCCTGGGCCGACCCTCAATGACACAGCAATGCAGACAAAAGGCCAACAGAAGGCAGACCTACCTCACAGTTAGCTCAGTTGGTATAATGCCGTGTGGTCACGGAGATTACCCTGGTTCCAGCCCTACAAAAGACTTTTTTTTCAAAATTTCGATAGTTACGAGGGATTACAGGGCTCCTCACCCGCTGGTTTCGCTCTTATCTCAGAAGGACGATAATTTGGAGCACCCATCTCTAAAACAACCTTACATTTTTTGCGCAAGAGACGTCAATAAACCCATACCATACCATACCATACCATACCATACCATACCATACCATACCATACCATACCATACCATTACATAGAAAAGAGACCTACATACTACATATCGCATAACTTTAAAAAAGTCTCTACTCCTTCCCTTCCCGTGGTAGATTCCATCTGACATTTAGGGTATTACTTCAGATCGTAAATTAGGCTAGACGTCTTCGACTACTCGGGTTTACTTAACCGAGCTATTCAGTCCATAGAATAGGAGAATAGCACAGAGGGGGTGGGGCTGAGCACTTCAAGCAAATTTTTATCGATAATGAAATCTGTGTTTGAAGCAGTGTAAACTTTCACGATACATGTACTTTGATTTGACACATCTTAGGTTCATCTTTTTAATAATGCCGACTCAACTTTTCCACTAATATAATTAAGTTAACTCCCAGGAACTTTATGAATACCCCCCCCCCCCCTTCCACATACACAAAAAAACACAATCAAACAAGAAAAACACATTCGAAAACAAACTAGAAGTGTTCAAACTGGCGTCAATTCAGAACCTCCCCCCCCCACCCCCAAGTATCAATCTAATAGTAATAGTCGCTGACATGTACAAAACATTCTACTGAAAGGGATAAACGTCTAACCGACTTTCTGGATCACCACTGGCTCGCATTCTCTCTGCCTCCTCAGCACGATGTGGGAGTGAGCTCTTGTGGCACAGCGAAGCAAGCAAGGCGAGTCGTTAGTACACGAGGTAAGACATTGACGACTCGAATTCCTGCTTTGTTAGAGCTTCTCGAGGCTGTCGAGTGAATGCTTCAGGCTCTCTTATACAACATTTTTATTTCTACGTTCATGGTGCTGAGTTGGCACCTATCCTTCCTTCGAATTCCGGCCCAGGTAGAGATTTCTAGAATGCAGGTTGCTTTTTCGTTCGCGGAATTGTAACAGCACTCCTAATTTACTTTTATTATTGTGTTTTCGAGACTTGTTGAAACCCATTAGTCCAATTCCGACTCTGAAGTCGGGGAAGCTTTTACGGCTCTCTTATGTATCTTTTACCGCAGGGAACACTGCTCCTGTTTAATTGGCATTTATTTTAACAAGTGTGAGCTTTATCCTGCAACAGTACAAAAACAACAACAAACAAGCAACTATACAAATTAACAAACGGGAAAAAAGAAAAACAAACAAGCAAAAAACAAATAAGAGTACCAAAACAAACCAAAAGCAAAAAACAAAACAAAAACAAAACAAAAGAATAACAAAAACAAACAACAAAATGTAACCCAAAAACAATAAACAAGAAAAAAACTGAATTAAAAAACCCAACAATTCATTCAGTCACATCTTGCTATTATCATTCACACAAAATATAGATATC